TGTGGTTTTCTCCAGCAGCGCTTTGCAGGTCAGATGGCTAAGCTGACCCAGGACTGGAGCGCTACAGAAAAATTAAAGGAAAGGAACAAGGAACCACAGAATTGATGCTCAAGGCAAGGCAGTAATTAATTACCTCCTTAAACACCCCGTTTTCAAATGCAGTCACATCGGGGATTAGGCTTCAACATCAAACTTGTAGGGGGCACAGTTAAGTCTGTAACAGACATATTTGCCATTTGTAGCTCTTTCATGCATTTGGCTAACCTTTATTGAATAACTACTGTAAGTCAGACAGTATGGGTCTGGAGAATCAAAAGCCCTCAAGGAGCTTATCGGTTAATAGGGGAAATAGGTAAATAAATGAATAATTACAAAATCACATAATGGTAATAGCATAATAAAGAAGCATGTAACCGGATTGGGAAGGGGGAGTCAGAGAGGACTTTCCAGGGGAAATTATTCCAAAATTAAGTCTTAAAAGGGAAATAAGACCAGCAAGTGCAATGTATCATCCTTGGTTTGATCCTGCGTTAAAGAAACTATAAAGGACATTTTGGAATAATTGGGAAAATTTGAATATAGGCTACATATTAGGTTATACTATCAATGCTAAATATTTTGAATGCGATTATGGTATTTGTGATGTAGAAAGTTGTACTTACTATAGTTTTAGGGTTTGAATTTCATGATGTCTAACTTGCAGGTGAATCAGAGAGAGAGGTAAAATAAATGTGGCAAAGAAGTGTCATAACTGCTAACTAGAAAAGGGGCATCTTTGTTCATTGTACTATTCTATTAGTTTTTCTGTTGGTTTGAAACTTTGAAAGAAACATTTACAGTGGTGGGAATTGGCCAGGCAAAGAATAGGAGAAAGACATTGCAGGCAGGGGTCCCCTAGGGATGTAGCAACAGATGTGAGGTGGAGAGGAATGAGCTACCAAAGTAGTTAGAAGCCAGATCATAAAAGACTTAACTTGGCAGAGGGTTTGGGTGATGGAGATTTTGAAGGATCTAAGGTGGGAAGGGTAACAAGGGATGAGATTTGCATTTTAGGTCTATGACTTTGACAGTTGGGAAGTAGATTGGGATAGTACAGGGTATCCTTTAGAAGATCGCTCTGTCAGGACCGGGGTTAGAATAATGGTGGCCCAAACTCAAATGGTATCAGTGGGGAGGCAAGAAATAAACATGTTTGCCAGATATTGGGGGTAGCACTAGTAGGTAGACAGGGAAAAGTTAGAGTGATTCCCATATTTCCCCAAAAGTTGGGGTTCTTTTGGGAAAAGGAATTCTTTTTTTAAGATGTCATCCATTGTACAAGTTTCAGCTTAAGTTCTCCCTCATTTGTGAAATGTTCCTCACATTCCTCCTGAACTAATTTCTTCCTCCTCAGAACACCTGTCCAGCTCTCTGCACATTGTGTTCTTTCACAGCAGAGTTTAGAGCTATATACCTGGTAATTATTTGACAAGTGTTTGTTGGATCATTGGGTAAGAAATTAAGAGAATTTCAATTGATATTATATAAGCTGAATTTACTTAATGGAATTCTGCTAAGTTCTTTGTATTATTTGGAGGTAGTTTCTGTACATTTTAATGTACTTAAATTTTTAAAGATGACAGTTTGAACTGACCGAAAACAAAAAAATCAGATCCAATATTCAGGTTTTTCCTGGACAGCTGGCTCCTGTGTCATGGATGTTGTCTCTTTTGTGAGGGCTTTAGAGAGTGACCGAACTCTCTGCCTTTGATAGTGACGCATGAGAATGACAGCAAGGGGCGCTCTTCCAGAATAACAGATGGTGACCTTAGTTTAAAGGACATCACCAATTGATTCCTAGGAGTACTAGCTGAGAACAAGCAGCAGAAAAACCGCAATATCAAGCAGGATTCTCCTTTTCTTTTAATGCTCTGAGCTTCCCCGATGAACTTTATGACAGAGCGATTGGTTATTGTTGGAAGCATGGCTTTGGATGTGCTGTAAGAGTCTATACTAAATTGAAATTGCAGGATACATGAGGATCCATTTTGCACATTTCTCACCAGGTGCTAGTTTATTTTATTGGTATGCTTAGAAGTCCCAACAGCTTGTCTAGCAATCAATAAACTTAGTGTTTCTTATGTGCTATAGCAGTGAGTCAAGCTGTTCAGCATCCCATATTGATCCCATCATTCAATCTTCCTAGCTTTTTGTGTCATAACCAGTAAATATACACTTTGAGCACATCAGGGCCTTTTTCTTGTTCAGTGACCTCAGTCTGTTTTACACTAGTCTTTTTTAGTTAATCCTCACTGAGGATATTTTTTCCTATTGATTTTTAGAGATGATAGGAGGAAAAGGGAGGAAAAAGAGAGAGAGAAAGAAAGAAACATGGATGTGAAAGACTGACTGGTTGCCTTCTGTATGTGCCCGACCAGGGACAGGGATCAACCTGCAGCCCAAGCCCCAGGTTCCCTTGACCAAGAATCAAACCCCCACTGAGCACACTAGCTAAGGCTCCACCAGTCTTACAGATCCCTGGAAGCATTTTACTTTTCGCCAGTTAAGATACATGGTTCATTACTTAAAATCAAGTAACGTCATTAGGAAGGGGTTATAATCCAATAGGACTAGTCTCTTTATAGGAAGAAGCAAGACACCAGTAGTGTGCGTGCAGAGGAAAGGCCATGTGAGAACACAAGAAGGAAGTTGGGTCTGCAAACCAAGAAGAGAGGTCTCACCATTCAACCCTGCCAGCATCTTGACATTGGACTTCAAACCTCAGGAACTATGAGAAAATAAGTTTCTGCTGTTTAAACCATCCAGTCTATGGTACTCGGGTATGGGAGCCTGAGCATACTAATAATGGCCAAAATCTTTGTGCTCACAATTCCTATGTTTAATAAATGCTAAATAAAACCTATACACCAATGCTAGAACAAAGATACACACAAAAGACTTCTTCCCCTACTTCTGAAAAAATGAACCCCAAATTCAACAGAATGACAGAAAGTATGACATAACTTAAAAAAAACCAATTGCATCCTTGAGACTATAAGCAGCAAACTGTTAGTTACCAATTGCCATTTGTAGCTATCCAATCAGATGGTAAAGAAGAGAGATGTGTAGTGTATGGAGCACACACCAAAAGGAAATCTTTCATGGAGCTTAGTTCAAAATTACAGACTCACCTTCCCACCTTCTGCCGTTTAAGATACCTGCTGCTAAGTTGCTTACAGGTGCCTACACAGAGACTATGAAGACGATGGCAGTGGTGGTAGCTGTTTGGATTGACAACAAAGCCTAGAACAGTGTTCTGCCTGTAATACATTTTCATAATAGCGGGCATATTGATCATCATGAACCCATCTTCTAATCATTATCACTAGATTCTCAACAGAACAACTAAGTGGTCTTTAGGCCCTCTTCTATAAACATTCTTTCTCATGTTGACCTTTCACAATTATCATCTTTTATACTTGGAAAATGATTTAGCAAATAAGCTTGCTACTTTTCACTTAGCTCTTTCACACATTAGCAAATCAAGATTTCCTTGATAAACAAAAATACATTTTAGTAGAATTTAAATAAAGTCATCATGGTATTCACAGCTATTTTGATTTCCAAACAGCTCAAGCTAAGAAACCTAAAAGACTGAAAATGTGATCAAAACCTATGCCCATCTTACTCTTGCCATAGTACCTAGAAGAGGACACAGATCCACTACACAATTCTTTCCAAATAACTTAGAGTGCAAATATTAAAAATTTACTTTTGAATATCACAAATATAATCAAAGTATTCTCATAGACTGAACCTTTAAAAAATCAGGTTATAAAGCAAGTAAAATAAATTGTAGATGCCTATCAAAATATTAATCAAACGGGACCCAACAATCAGCAGCTATTATTTCAAGTATTAATGAATCTCTGAAAGTTCCTTTATTAACTCTAACATAAAGTGTTGGAAAAGTTAAAACTCATTAGAGGATTTTTATTTGTGTACTTGTATTTAAAATAAAAATTAGACTGAAAGAAACTAGAAATGCAAATAGGAATGGCCCCTTATGCACATACACATAGGGTTTTTATTCTTAACTAGTGACCCAGTGTACAAAATTACTGCACAGGGGGTGGGGGTGGGGGTTGTAGCTCAGCCCGGCCTGCACACTCTTCAATCTAGGACCCCTCGGGGACATCCATCTTGAAATCCAGGATGCTGGTTCCTAACTGTTTACCTACCTGCCTGCCTGATCGCCCTTAACCACTCTGCCTGCTGGCCTGCTTGCACCCAACTGCCCCCTCCCACTGGCCTTCTTGCCCCCAACTGCCCTCCTTGATGGCCTGCTTGCCCCCAACTGCCCCCATTGCCAGCCTGCTTGCCCTCAACTCCCCTCCCCCCCGGCCAGCCTGCTCACCCCCACTTGGCCCCCATGTTGGACTGATTGCCCTCAAACCCCCACTGCCAGCCTGCTTGCCCCCAACTGCCCCCCCCCCCGCTGGACTGTTTGCCTCTAACTGCCCCCTTCACCAGCCTGATCACCCCCAAATGTCCTCCCCTCCTGGCCTGATCGTCCTTATATGCCTCTACCTTGGCCCTGCCACCATGGCTTTGTCCAGAAGTTCTCCCGGTCTAATTATTACCCTTTTATTAGTATACATAAAGGCCTGGTACACGGGTGGGGGCCAGGTGGTCTGCCCTGAAGGGGGTCACAGATCAGGGTGGGGGTCCCCTTGTGGGGTGGGACCGGCCTGGGCAAGGAGCCTGGGGTGGTTTGCAGGCCAGCCATGTCCCCATTGGGGTGGGGGACCTCGCTGGGGGATGTGGCCAGCCAGGGTGAAGGACTGAAAGCCGTTTTCAGGCTGGCCACATACCCTTCGAGGTGGGAGTCCCCGCTGGGGGACATGGCCTTCCTGGGTAAGGGGCTGAGGGCCATTTGGAGTCCCCTGGCTTTGTCAGGAAGGTTTCCCGATCTAATTAGCATGTTACTTTTTATTAGTATAGAAGATAACATCATTTACCTTCTGCCCTTCTCACAAAGTTTCTCAATTTCAGCTTTCAGATCCTGCTCCTTCTGCAAAAACTCTTTCTTTTCTTTCTCTATCTTCTTCTTTGTTTCTTCTCTCTTTATCGTTACATCCTGGATAGCTTTTAATATCTCCTGAGTCCCACATAATTACAGTCACATACAAACAAAGAAGGAAAAAAATTAGTTCTTTTGGTCTGAAAGTTATTTTCAAATATCACAATTTAACATATTGAATTTAATAAACTAAAATTGAATTGAAGCCTTAACTGGTTTGGCTCAGTGGATAGAGCGTCGGCCTGTGGACTGCAGGGTCCCAAGTTTGATTCCGGTCAAGGGCATGTACATTGGTTGCCGGCACATCCCCAGTAGGGAGTGTGTAGGAGGCAGCTGATGGATGTTTCTCTCTCATCGATGTTTCTAACTCTCTATTCCTCTCCCTTCCTCTCTATAATAAAAATAAATAAATAAATTGAATTGAAGGAAGTTGGCTGATGAGTGACTCCTAAAGCCAGTATTTAGATGTAAGGAAGATAGTTACAATAAAGTAGATTTCAATTCAAGAGTAGAAAGAATTTCTAACTGTTCAAAAACTTGAACAGCAATAAGCTTTCCATTACTGGTGTTCAAATAAAGGCTAAATGAACCAGTCAAAAATGCTGAGAAAGGTATTCTTGCACAGAGTGGGAATTTGTTATTTTTAACAAATATGGTCTTGTTTTGTTTTGTTATGGTTCTATTTTATTACATGTGAGGTTATTTTTTTTCTCACTATTTAACAAATATAAATAAGTGTGTGTGTGTGTGTGTGTGTATATATGTGTATATATATATATATATATATATACACACATGAAGTTAAATTATAAAAAAGTGAAAAAGTTGAAAGATAAATACCACATGATCTCACTCATATGTAGGATATAATGATCAACATAATTTGATGAACAAAAATAGAGCCAGAGACAAATGGCAAGGGAGGTACGGGGGTTAAAGAACAACCAAAAGCCTTGTATGCATGCATACTAGCATAACCAATGGACAGACACTGGGGCAGTGCAGGCTTACCCAGGGTGGGAATGGCTGGCGGGGGGGGGTGAGGGTGTCAATTGGGGGAAAAGGAGACATATGTAAAACTTTAGACAAAAAAAAAAAAAAAATTAAGATGGACCACCACACAAAAAAAGTGATAAAGTTAAGTCACTCCCTAATTCACACCAATTCCATCCACAACGTAATCAATGCATTGTTTTGTGCTTTCACATTTTTCTCCATTCTCACACAAACACATGTACACTTATGTATCTCACTTTTTTTGTGTGTTTTCTTAAATGAGGTTGCTTTATATATGTTATTCTGTATTCTACTTTCTTTTTCATTTGAAATGAAGATAATGTCAATAAACACAGATCTAACTCAAGATAGCTGCAAATGATATAAGGTGCATATATGCAATTTGAACATTCTCTGTCAAGAGCCCATCAGGTTGAAACCAGCTCTTTTTGTAACTATAAGAGTGTGATAAACACTCTAGATGTGCACACTTTCAAACAGAAACTTCTATTTCTCATAAAACTGAGATTGCTAGGTCACAGTATATGTACATTTTAAGTTTTAACCAATAATTCCTAATAACATCTCCCAAAGGTTATAACAATTCATACTCCGACTAATGTCTGAAAAATAGTTCATTTTTCCTCACACCTGACAACTTATTTCATTTTTGCCAATCCCTTGGTGGAGGAAGAATGGCAACTAATTATAATAAGCGTTTCCCTAACTCCCATTCTTTCTTTCTTTTTTCTTTTTTTTTTCTAGTATGTTTTTATTGATTTCAGAGAGGAAGGGAGAGGGAGAGAAAGAGAGAAACATCAATGACAAGAGAGAACCATTGACCAGCTGCCTCCTGCATGGCCTACGTTGGGGATCCAGCCTGCAACCCTGACATGTATAGTGACCAGGAATCAAATTGTGACCTCCTGGTCCATAGGCTGACACTCAAGCACTGAGCTGTGCCCATAGGGCCCTAACTCCCATTCTTTATTGTTTTTACTGCCTCCTCCAACGATAATAACTATTTGATGAAGGCAGAGACTATGTTTGGTTCACCACTTCAGAGCCTAGATTAGGAACTCAAAAAATAGTTGCTGAGTAAGTGAATGAGTACCAGTGAGGCTGAGCTTCTTTTCATAAACTTATTACCTATTTGCTTTTCCTCATCCTAATCCCTGAACTTGTTACCTTCCACGGGAAAATAAACTGTAGCTGTGACATGGGGAAGAATCTTCAGATAGGAAGGTAATCCTGGATTCTCTGGGTAGGCCCAATCTAATCACAACATGGGTCTTTAAAAGGAAGAACCTGCCCTGGCCATTGTGCTCACTGGTTGGACACCAAAGGGGCACAGTTTCATTTTTGCTCAAGGGAAGGTACCTCACTTACAGGCTGCTAATAACTTGATTTTCACCTGGTGGTGCCCATGTTGGTCTTCTGGCCTATAAATTAAGCCACTAACTCATGATAATTTGTTACAGCAGCAATAGAGAACTAATATAATAACCCTCCCTGGTTTTCTGCAGATCATGTGACTTTTACCATGAATTTACCTGAATCTCAGAATGTCATGGATATTAAATCCTTCATCAGATGTATATTTTCTCTTAGCCTAACATTGATCTTTTTTACTTTTTGTGTCCTTCACTGTATTAAAAGTTTTAAATTACATGTAATTAAGTGTTTTGTGGCTTCTGTGTTTTCTGCCTGGCTTAAATTGATCTCTTGCAACTTGAGATTTTATATATTTTTACACACACACACACACACTCGTGACTTGGTGCACAAATTCATGCACATTCAAAGGAAATTAATTAGAAGAAATATTTTAATATCACTATATGCCCTTTCTGTATAATAGAAGTGTCAACCAAATTTACAATTGACAATGACAGAAACACATGCGTCCAATTGGCGCTAGCAAGGGCTTATATGTGTCTCAACTTAGCCTTTTATAGATATAAAATAAACTTGTTTAATTAGAGCTGCTTTCTAATTTAGCTAAAATTTTTCCAGCCCAGTGAAGTACCCCAACTTCTCTTTCAGGTAATTTTCAGCAACACAGCAGTAAATATCAACACAAAATAGATTATTATTGTAGATCATGCAGGGAGAACAATGGGTAAAATATTTAACTGCAGTAGTGTTTGACTATATTCTACTCAGTGAAAAAACCTGAAGTCATTTTCAGAGTCCACCCATTTGTTACTTCTTTTCAATCAGGTCAAGTTTCTAAGCTTTCTAAATCTCCATTTTCCGGCTAATGGAAAGAAAATAGGATTTCACCGAGTCTCCTATCTAGCAATTGAAGATACAAATAGCCCTGGCTGGTATGACTCAGTTGTTTGAAGCATGACCTGTACCTACTCCAGGACTACTGTGAGGATCAAATGGGATGAGGCATGGAAAAACAGTTCACAGACATTTGGTTACAGTGTGAAATGTTTCCACCTGGCTATAAAGCAAGTTGTGTTCCTGGGCTGAAGAAACTGCAAGGAGGCTAGTCGTCTCTAGGGAGGGGAGGCCAGGCATTGGTACATGACATCATTACCTGGATGGACATTTAGCATATTAGCCATATATACTCCTAAATTTTTTTCTAATTTGAAAGGTTTTTCACTTTTTATATGTGGATTTTTAATCCACCTATAATTGTATTTTTAAATATGTGATATGAGTCTAATCAAATTATTTCCTAAACAGACCGTCAATATGCCAACAAACTATATTAAGTAAATAATCCTTTTCTCTCTGAACTAAAACAGAAGTTAGAGTTTTAAAAAATATATTTTACTGATTTTTCACAGAGAGAAAGGGAGAGAGATAGAGAGCTAGAAACATTGATTTGAGAGAAATATCGACTAGCTGCCTCTTGAGCATCCCCTACTGGGGATGTGCCCGCAACCAACATACATGCCCTTGACCGGAATCGAACCTGGGACCTTTCAGTCCGCAGACCAACGCTCTACCGCTGAGCCAAACCGGTTTCAGCAGAAGTGAGAGTTTTAACAAGATGTCCTCAAAGGTTATTTTTATCCTTAAAATTTTATGATAACCATTTAAAAAGTAAATACTACTTTTCTATTTCTATTAACTTGAAAATAAAATTAAAGTTTGACTAGGGACTATAGCTTTACTCATTGACAATTTTAACATAAACAGAAAACCTGATGGTTCTTCATTTCTTCTTCTCTCCTTTGCTGAAGTTGCTTGAGTTGCACTTGGAGCTGATTCTCCACTTGCCTCTGCTTGTCCAGGACCTCCTGGTAACGTTCCTTCAACAGGGTTCTCTCTGTCATCATTTTATCCTATTGGTAACAACAGAAGAAAAGTGTAATTCCCCAATCTAATTGCAGGAAACACTCACCAGACACCTGCTCAAGGCACTGTGTGGAGCTCTAGTGTCCAAAACTGCAGCTACTAGCCATGTGTGGCTGTGTTAACCTAAACTAATTAAAATAAATTTTTTTTAAAATCCAGCCCCTCAGTCACCTCGCCACATTCCAAGTGCTCAAAGGGGCACATGACTGGTGGCTGCCATATCAGTCAGCACACAGAATATTTCCACCATCACAGGGAGTTCTAACACAGAAGTTGGCAATCCATGGCCTGTGGACCAAATCCAGTCATTGCCTGTTTTTGATAGATAAAAGTTTTATAGAAACACACCATCGTCAATGGCTTATAAGCTGATTTCACACTACAATGGCAAAGTGGAATGTTAGAACAGAGCACATACATGAAGCCTAAGACATTTATCACCTGACCCTTTAGATAAAAAGTTTGCCAAGCCCTACTCTAGGAAATAAGAGGAAGGAGGCACTTTATCATCCTTGAAGAATGGGCAAAAACAAAGAACACGTCACCTACCAAAATGCATACAGAAACAGGATTTTTACATCATTAGCTCTGAAAACTTACAAACTCACAAAGAGGTCTAGGGAACTTGGGATTCAGACTGAGCAAACCAGCAAGCTCTCATATAAAGTAGGGAGCAGAAGCAAGGACCACAGTTCAGCTCTGCCTCCTTCAAATCAGTGAATCAAGAAAAGTTGAGGTTACCTTTCAGAGGGGCACTAAAACTTAAAGAGGATCAATTTAAAACTCAGCAGTATAAGGTAGTGGGCAAGTGCCATAAACGGATGAAAAGAATAGCAAATAAAACTGGAGCCCAGTATCTTGAATTGCAACTAAGTTTTATACCTAAAAATATATTTTTTTAAATTAATTTCAGAGGGAAGGGAGAGGGAGAAATAGAAACATCGATAATGAGAATCATTGATTGGCTGCCTCCTGCATGCTCCCTACTGGGGGTTGAGCCTGCAACCCAGGCATGTGTCCTTGATCAGAACTGAACCAGGAACCCTTCAGTGTGCAGGCAGGCCAATGCTCTATCCACTGAGCCAAACCAGCTAGGGCCCACTGCCTTTTTTAAAGAAAAATACAACCAAATAAAACACAACTCTGGGCCTCTTTTGGCCCAATTGCCTGCCAGTTTCCACCCTGTTCAGACTAATACTAAAGTGTATTTAAAACTTTAGTTGGCCCATTAAATTGCTATACGGTCATCCAAACCCCACATCAAACTATGGGGACAAAGTAAATACTCTATGTAAGTAAACTGATTACGTAAGTGCTCAATAAACAATGACTTCTCCCCTCTCTAGAGGTTCTCTTCTACACAGCACGTCTCCATGAGGCCTCCAGTCTCTGGGATCTTTTCACTGCCCGTTATTAATAACTCCTGAGTTGCTACTCTCTAGTTAAAAGTTTTCATTGGCATCATCTGATTAATGCATTCCAATAATTTTTTATTCCCATTTGCCCTCAAGTACTTCAACATGCTCCACATATTCACTCTTATCTGGTTAATACAAATACTTTTCCTTTCTCCACTCAATTAGCTCATCTTCCCCTAAAGACCTCTATCTAACCCCAGGGTGCTTTCCTAGCATTATCCTTCCTCTTGAAAAATATACACTAGCTATGCATTCACTAAAGGGTTGGAAGTTTTTGCCACAAAATCAAGAGGACCAAATAGTTTAGCAGAGATAAATGTGAAGTTCTCTTAATTTCAAAAACTAATTACCTAGGAATAAAATGGGCAGATACAACTATATAATACATGAGACTTGATGACATTTGACTGAAAGCTCAACACTGTGACAAGACTGCCAAAATAAACCAACAGCTAAAGAAACAGTGACTAACATGAGAGTTAGAGGAGAGGCCCATTGTATTGTGAACTAATTATAGTCTGTCTGGATTATTACATTTTGTTCTCAGGATCACATTTCAAAAGAAACACTGATAAGGTGGAACATGTCTAGGTGAAAGGTACCCAGAGTGATGAAAGGACTGAAAACATATTATATATATATTTTTTAAATGTTAAGAACATCTGGAGAATGTTTCACCTGAAAACTTCAGATCTGAGAGCTAAGAGGAAGAAGCAGGGGAAAACCTTCAAAAGTAAGTAAGGCGATTGGACAACTTCTCATGGTGGCAGCAGCCGGTGGGCATTGAAGAGTGGTGACTGAGCTTCAAGCCTGGTGGTGTGTGCTGCCTCCGGCATGGCTCCACCCCCCAGCCCCTGCACCCTGATGCAGTGCCAGCCCCGACTGGGGACGATGGCGGAGTATGTTCTGGGCCACAGCATGCTCTGGAGTTCCTTGGACCAAGTGTTCTCTGCCTTCTGGCAGTGGTATCCGAATCCCTACAGCAAACATGTCCTGCGGAAGACACAGTGCACAGGGCGGTGACCCCTGCCCGAGACTCCTGTTGGGCCAACCGACTATTTCCTGCCAACACTGCTCACTCGGTGTATGCCCTGGAAGATTCTCCTGCAGACCCGCAGAACCAGAGCACGGCCACCTTCCCCTGAACATCAGCCACACCGGCCGGTGGTGCTGGAGGAACAAGGTGGCGACTGTGTGAACTGATGACAGAGCTGGACTGACATCCGCTGGGGAGGCTGGTCTCCTCAGCTGACCTGGCATTTCCAGAGCTGTCCAGGAATCTGGTCTCCTGGTTCAAAAGCAATGTGACCAAGATTCTGAGTACATCTTGGCCAAGCTGCAAGGTGAGGCTCCTTCCAAAAGCCTTGCTGAGAGCCAAGGAAGCCGAGGAGGAGGCAGAGAACGGCACTGGCAGCACAAAGAGGCCCAGGACCTCGCCAGCAAGGCAGCCACGAAGATGCAGCAGCAGCAATAGCTTGCGTAGACAGCTGGCCCCGGTGCCGCAGCATGCCAGACCACTCGCCTGTACTCCATCTGCCCTCCTCCCTTTCCTTTGTTATTAAAAGCCAACTTCTAGCCCTAACTGGTTTGGCTCAGTGGACAGAGCATCGGCCTGCGGACTGAAGGGTCCCAGGTTCAATTCTGGTCAAGGGCATGTACCTTGGTTGTGGGCACATACCCAGTAGGGAGTGTGCTGGAGTCAGCTGATCAATGTTTCTAATTATCTATCCCTCTCCCTTCCTCTTTGTAAAAAAATCAAAAAATTTATATATTTTTTAAAAAGTCAACTTCCAGCCGGGACCGGTTTGGTTCAATGGATAGAGTGTCGGTTTGGGGACTGAAGGGCCCCGGGTTCGATTCCAGTCAAGGGCATGTACCTTGGCTGCGGGCATATCCCCAGTAGGGGGTGTGCAAGAGGCAGCTGATCGATGACTCTCTCTCATTGATGTTTTGAACTCTCTCTCCCTTCCACTCTGTACAAAAATCAATAAAATATATATATTTTTTAAAAAAGTCAACTTCCAGCCCCATCTACTTTTTTTTTGGGGGGGGAGGGTTGTTAGGGGGGTGTCTGTTTGGCATCTATAGTATATCAGATATGTTACCCATGTCTGGGCTGGGCCCACTTCTTTCTTTTTAAAATATATTTTTATTGATTTCAGAGAGGGAGAGGGAGATAGAAACATCAATGGTGGGAGATAATCATTGATTGGCTGCCTCCTGTAGGTTCCCTCCTGGGGATTGAGGCTGCAACCCAAGCCATATGTCCTGACCAGGAATCTTAGTCCATAGGTCGATGCTCAACCAAAGCCACCCCAACTGGGCTGGGCCCACTTCTTACAGCATCAGGTAGCTGAGGGCCAGAGGAGCAGAGAAGTGCCATGACTTGCCCAGGGTCACAGTGTGCAGGCAAAGTGGTCATAAACACTAGACTATAAGCTCCATGAGGGCAGGGACCTTAGTTTTGTTCTCTGCTGTGTCCCAAGTACCTGGAACAAGATCTAGCAAATATCTCTTGAATTCAATCCTCCTCGGCTTCCTTGGCTCTCAGCAAGGCTTTTGGAAGGAGCCTCACCTTGCAACTTGGCCAAGATGTACTCAGAATCTTGGTCACATTGCTTTTGAACCAGGAGACCAGATTCCTGGACAGCTCTGGAAATGCCAGGTCAGCTGAGGAGACCAGCCTCCCCAGCGGATGTCAGTCCAGCTCTGTCATCAGTTCACACAGTCGCCACCTTGTTCCTCCAGCACCACCGGCCGGGGAAGGTTCTGCGGGTCCACAGGAGAATCTTCCAGGGCATACACTGAGTGAGCGCACTTCCCCCTCGAAAAAAATACACAGGGTTAACAAGCAAAAGAAGATTTAGATTTACTCTACATAACTCACGGAAAAATTACAACAAGTTTTAGAGGTTCTGTCCTTATCCCAGAATGAGATATCACATTAAGAGCTATTTTAAAAATGCAACATGCCCTAACCGGTTTGGCTCAGTGGATAGAGCATTGGCCTGTGGACTGAAGAGTCCCGGGTTCAATTCCAGTCAAGGGCACATCCTGGGTTGCAGGCTCCATCCCCAGTGGGGGGAAGGGTATGCAGGAGGTAGCCGATCAATGATTCTCTCTCATCATTGATGTTTCATCATTGATGTTTCTCATCATTCAGCTCTCTCTCCTGCTCCCTTCCTCTCTGAAATCAATAAAAACGTATTTTAAAAAATAAAAATGCAACAGGCTGCTTTGTGAACAGTAAGCTTCCTATCTCTGGAAGTGATCAAGTAGAAGTTAGCTAACTAACGTCGGGAATTTTATAAAGGTGACTCCTGCATCTTTTCTGACTGAGATCACATGACTGGATCTTCTGCATTACCACTTTTATATATCAACAATGACAGTTCAAAGACTTACCAGATTCTTTTCAATATCTTGATCTGTGTTTACCTCTGACTCAGCTGTCTTAAAGTCAGTCTACAACGACAGAAACAGCATATTCAGAACTGGTCAGTGGCATTTGAAAAGGGAGAATTGCTCTCATACTTTCACCTAAAATCTGTGCAACGAAGAGGCCAACATGTTGGCTGCCCAGAAAGAGCAGCACTGCCACTCTGGTAATGGATGCTGACATGCACCCTGCAGGAAGCACTTAGCTCCCAGAACGCCCAGATGCAGAGGCTACACTCATCATTACTCAGCGAGAGACATTACATGAAGCCTGTCAGGTTCCTAGTCACCACAATTAGACAATGGCTCCTGGCTTTACTATTTCTTGGACACCAGGATGAAGCCATCACATAGCACCAAAGGAAATAGTATACAGCTGCCAATAAAAGAAAAATGATAAACAATAGTCTCCACCAACCATGAAGAAATGTCTCTTTCCTAAAAAAAAAAAAAAAAGAAAAGAAAAGAAAAAAAAAGCCCAAATTCCATTGTAATAGTAGAAACTTGATACTTGACCTGTACAGCAATGTTCTGAGAAAGCTTCAGGGAAGAGCTATCCTGATCATCATCCTGATCCACTCTGACTCCTTCAACCCCATTTGCTGGAGGTACTACAGGTCGGAAATCCAAGCCTGTGTCCCTGCTCCCTTCCTTTAGGATGGAGGCTTGTGGGGACTTCTCTTCAGGACAATTCCCAGAGGCATGTTGCTTTGCATGGCCCCCTGCCTTAAGAGACCGAGTGACAGGATGGAGGCTCTCCCCGAGGCACGGATTCCCCTCCTCTCCTGCCGTGCTGGCCACGTCCTTCAAATCAGACTGAGACCCAGCGCCAGAAAGACCAAGGTCTGTGGCTATCAAGTTCTCTCCTAAAACCGCCTGGTGCGCTGCTGAGGTGTCACCTGCTGACGAACCAGGATTCTGCTCTGGTTGTTCCAAATGGACATTTCTGTTATTCTCCTTGGTTACCGTTTGGCTACTTACACTTGACAGAGGTGAGTTCTTGTGCTTCTGTGCAGGGTCTTTGGGGCTGCCAAAACACAAGACAAAAAGTTTCTCTCTTCACCCAGTCTTAAAGAGGGTGAAATACACAATACTTCTAACACAATCACTAAGAGAACAAAACTGGACTATATAAACCCCTCAAGTTATCAAAATGAAAAGGAATTTCCTTTCTACCCAGAGATTTTATCCCACATGCAGGGAGCACAGCTTGGTGGTTAAGAACCTGGATTCTGGCCCCAGCTGGTGTGGCTCAGTGGTTGCCAGTTCAATTCCCAGTCAGGGCACATGCCCAGGTTTTGGGCTTGATCCCCAGTAGGGGGGCATGCAGGAGGCAGTCGATCAATGTTTTTCTCTCACATTGATGTTTCTCTCACTCTCACTCTCTCTCAAGTCTATAAAAGTATCTATTTTTTTTAAAAAGAACCTAGATTCTAGAGACAGTCTCCAGTTATTGATGACACATAAGTGACTGAAAATCCAAAAATCTTTGAGGGACAAGTTGAATAACTTTCAGAGGAAATAGCCTAATGCTAGTTAGAATATTTCATTTAGTTACATGTATTTAGTTACATATATTTTAATAAAATATCAATTTAGTAAGTTTTTATTCCACTCTCACGTTTCACAAAAGTAATTTTCATTCAAACTCATTATACAGATCTCTGACCAGAACCACTTTTTAGGTTCTTCGAGTTTTCCAGAGCAGAGTTTTCTTCAAGCTGTGTGAGATACAAACACTTTTGAATCCAAAACTGAAGCTGTCAATAGAAATTTTATCCCAGACAAGTACATACATGTACAACACTGGGAGAGTTGTTTTATTGTTTATCACAGACTTAACATATTGTGTTTTTGTTGTTATTGTTTGTTAATCCCACCCAAGAATATCCTTTCCATTGACTTTCAGAGAGAGAGGAAGGGAGGGAAGGTGGGAAGGGAAGGAGAGAGGGATGGAGGGAGAGAGATGGGTTGTCTCCTGCATACAACCCGGACCAGGGCCAGGGATCGAACCCAACCCAAGTATGTGCCCTTGATCGGATACCGAACCTGCCACCCTTTGGTGCGTGTACTGGCCGACACACTAAGCAGTGAGCAACACCAACCAGGGCAACATATTGGTTTTTAAAGAGATCTTTAAAACCTATTTACAGTGATATCCAACATTCACAACTACAAATTTTTCATCCAGGAATAATGACTAAATCTGTGTTAAATTTCCTCTTTTTTTAGAAAACTGGCTTCAGCTTTGCGCAGTGGCAGTATCGTAGCCAATGAGGAGTATCCGAGGCGCGATTATTGCTAATTAAAAAAACGGGCTTTGTCAACTGGTGTCCTCAAGCACCGCACACTAGAATGAGGAATCGGCTCACTATCCTTGCTTTCCTTAACAGTACTTGCTGTTCGAAATAAAACAACTGAGAGAGCATCTTGCATTATGAAAATCTATAAATGCTCCGAGCTGATTCCGTGCTGGGAGTTAACTGAGGGACGAGGGGGCACCTAATTACAAATTTGGGCATGTGCCGTAACTGGATGGAATGCTGACTCTGTTTAGTAGCTGTTTGACTCTGGGCAAATTACTTCATTTTTAAAATACTACCTACCTATTACAATTATTGTGAGGATTACATGAGACAATGTTTCTTAAGTGTTTAGTACAGTGCCTGGCACATAGTAAACACTCAATAAACCTTAACTGGTAATATCATTACTAGCAGTATGTGGCTGATTTTATTTATAAAATGAAGATCCAAGTTTAACATTTGCCACATTACCCATTCACTAGCAAACTTCTGTTCATTTAGACAAATATTTACATGGTACTCTGGAACCAGACAAGCCTGGGTTCAAACCCTGACTCCAACATAGCTTGGTAACCTAGGGCAAGTTACTAACCTCTGCGTCTCAGTTTCCTCACCTGTGAATAGGAATAATATTAGCACCTACCTCCTGGTATTGTTGGGAGGATTAAATGTGTTAATATATATATAAAGCTGTTAGTACAGTATTATATATTGTGTTAAGTCTATGTACTCTAGAAAAGAGCTAAAATAGACTATACAGTCAAATTAATGCAACCGTATACATACACTGTGCCAAGCAAAGTAACATAGAAGGTTGGGTAATCATAATCCCATCCCTCAACAGTTCACATGGAAGGCAAAATCTATAATAAAAGGGTAATATGCTAATTAAATCAGATGCCCTTCCAGACGACCTTTTGGATGGACGAAACCGGGGCTTCGAAGGAAGCACGGGTCTCAGGTGCCTGCTGCTGGCCTGAGGGAAGCCTGGGTCCTAGGTGCCAGAGGGAAGCCAGCGCCGGCAGCCAGGGGAAGGAAGGCCTATTCTTGCACGTATTTCATGCATTGGGCCTCTAGTATATACATAAAGCAGTAAGCCATATTACCAAAGCTATCTATAGACACAGATATATAAACACAAACACATAATTAACTATATATACACATATATATGTACCTGTGAGTATATATGTTATATAGAAATGTAGTATATGTGAATATACATATGTATAATATACAAACACATACTTTAGTGAGCATATAATCCATGTAGGATAGAATGAGGATATACTCTCACTTTTGGACGAGTTTGACCACCAGTATTCTGTCAACAAATATTCTCATGTCTGCTGAGCCTCAGACACTGTTAGAAATACAAACATAGCCGAAACCGGTTTGGCTCAATGGATAGAGCGTCGGCTTGGGGACTGAAGGGTCCCGGGTTCAATTCCGGTCAAGGGCATGTACCTTGGTTGCGGGCACATCTCTCATCGATGTTTCTATCTCTCTCCCTTCCTCTCTGTACAAAATCAATAAAATATATTTAAAAAAAAAAAGAAATACAAACATACCTTTAAAAAGCTTAATCTGGTACAATGCTACTAGAGCCAAAAAGAGGAAAGACCAGCTACATTTCCGTAAGAGGCCCTTACCCAACCCCCCCCCCAAAAAATCTTCACAGTCAAGGACCCCTACCTTACCTTAGACCATCTAGCAGACCTTCTTCTGATTTGGAAGCACAGGGACTAGAGGAGGATTCCGGAGGATTGGGGGCATTGGCCACACCAGCTACCTCGGACGCTGCCATCATGCTCTGTACATCCAGAAATAAATGACAGGCTACTGGCTTCACGTTTTAAAAATAATGTTCTTCCACCCTCAGAATGTCCACACAATACAGTTTTCCGGGGAAAGAAACAAAGTTGGCTCCGGGAGAAAACACCTGAGTGTTTATTCTATAGCACTGGTATTAAAGCCATCGTAGGCAAACGGGTCCCAGCGAATCAATCCTCAGGAGCCACCATATTTATGTAAATTCCTAGGAGGGTGTGCAAAGCTCTTTTCACTTTTGGCAGAAATGCAGTCATTTAGAACATCAAACTAGAGCCAGGGAGAATCTTTCAAATGGCCCACACACTCACCTTGCCTAATACTATTTACAAAGGATGCAATTTTTGGCCTGGTATCAACAATATCGTTTAAAATCATTTTATTGCTGTTAATTAAAAGCATTCTCCATTAATATAAGAGAAGTTTTAAGGAAAAGCAATGTTGTATTGGGCAACCCAAGTATCTTTTACTGTCAGCGCGCTCCCCAGGGAGGGGTACCGGGGTAAGTCTGATAACCACTGACCGATGACAGGTCCTTCCAAGTCTACAGGGGTGCAAGAGGGTGGGAATCTGGGTTACCCCAGCAGGACAACGAGCTGAAAACAGGGAAAACCAAGAAATGGGAACCGGAGCAGATGACATTCTTTGATCAAAAGGTCATCTTTTATGTTGCAAGACAAACTCATGGCCTTCTATGGGGAAATAACATAGGGGGAGAGGGGTATGTAACATAGGGTTAGTTTAAATTAGTTGATTTTAATAGTTATCACAGGTACACCCCGGAACCTACAAGAGCCCATAGGGCAATCATGGAGACCGCTGTGTCAACCCTTCAGTCACAAGCCAGAGACCCCCGGGCCTCAGTTTCCCCATTATACTAAGGTCCTAGGGGAAAATGGACCCCCAAATCGCCATTACTGCACCCTCAGGTGCAAGCCTCCTGCCTCAGCACAGCCCGGGGGCCATAACCGAACCACCGGGCACGGGTCCTGCCTGCCCGGCGGGCTGCAGGATGTGCCGAGGGACGCCCGCCCGCAGCCCGGGTCCTTGGGGCGGACGCGAAGGAACAATGGGTGGAAGCAGCGCCGGGGGGCCACCGCCGCCCTCCAACCCGCTACGCCGGCGGCCACCGCGGGCACGGCGCCTCCGCACCCTCCCCTCGGCCCGCACCCCGCGGGCAGCCCTGCCGCTCTCCTAGGCCGGGACCCCCGCTCGCAGCTCCCGGCGCCTCCACGCCCCCCACTCGCCTCCCGCCCCCGTGTCGCACCCGGGCCCGCGCGCCGACCCGCACCCACTTGGGCTCCGCGCCCCCGGGAAGGGACGGGGGAGGGAAGGGACGCACCTGAGCGGGCGGCGCGGGGGAGGGGGCTGCCGGGCCTCGGGGGAGGGCCGAGCGCTGGCGGCGGCGCACCTCCCACTTCCGGCGGCGCGAGAGGAGGGGGCGGGGCGCGGCCGCAGGAGGAGCGGCGCGGGGGCTCGGCCGCCCCCGACGGCGCCCCTGGCGGCCAGAGCCGGCACTGCCGAGGGTACGCGGTCGTGCGGGAGCCCCTCAGCCACAGGCGGACTCGCAGGGACGCAGGGATGCGAGGAGGAAGAAGATGCTGTCGCGAGAAGGAAGGAGACGCGTGGAGGGAGCCGCTCTAGGAGGGACTCAGGGGCTGGGGGGACCTCGGCCGTCTGAGGAGAGGAATGATGTGCTTGAGACCGAGATGCCTTTTCCAGAGGACACTGTGGGGAAGACGACGCCTCCGGGGAGGTCCCCTGGGAGATGCCCGGGGGCTGGAGACGGCGGGGGGGGGGGGGGGGGCGGGAGCCCGCGAAGAGGCGGCCGCGGCGCGCGCCGCTCCCGGGAGAGGCCCGAGGGTCGCCCCCGCGCCTCCGGCTGCGGCCGCGCGCGCTGATTGGCTGCGGCGCCGGGCGGAAGTGACGCCGCTGTCAGGGGCTCGGGCGCCCGGGAAGCCGCGAGTTTCCGCGGGGAGGCGGCGGGCCGCGCCGGTGAGTTGGGGCTCGGTCGGGACGGAGCTAGGAAGTTGGTGGCCCTAAGCGGGTATCGGGGTCCGAGGGCGGGGCGCTGCACAGGGCGCCTCTAGTCCGGCGGGAGCGCCCGGGGCCCGGACCCTGCAGCCCGGACCGCGCGGTCCCCGTAAGGAGAGGCGCCGTGGCGGGGCGCGGGGTCCCGGGCGCGGAGCGTGTGCGGGAGCCTCTGGGGAGCAGGACCTGGATTAGTAACCTGGACTAGTTAACTAATCTAAACTAACCCAGGACCTGGACCTCCTCTCCCGCGGCCCCTGGGCGCTGTCGGGGTGCGCCTGCGGTGGAGGAGGCGAAGACCTGCTCTCGGGGTCCTCGCGGTTCCTTTCCGGGGAGCCTGGGGGGAGGGCTCCGGCCGGAGTGAAGGAGAGCGGTCAGCTTTCTCTTCTCCGGAGCCTGCACCCCGAGGCGGAAGGAGCCTGCCTAGGTGTGTCCCTGCCTGGCTGAGGGACAAGGTTTTGTTTTCCTTAGTGGGTGTGCACACTGGCCAGGCCCTTGGCAGCTCGGGACCGTGGGGGCTGCTGCAAGGCGGGACTGTGAGGAGAACGTGGCTGGGAACCGCAGAGGAGCAGAGAGGAGAGGGAATGCAGAACTTCGGAGGGAGGTGTTCCCTTCTCCCTTTGGGAAAGCACCCACTTTCTGTAATGTTTTGAGTCAGACCCATTTGGCATCCGTGTGAGGACTCCGCTTGGCCTCAGCGCCCCACCAACGGGGCAGGAGCTTCTCTCAGGGCCCAGCCACGCACAGGTGCACCCATGCTGGGCACCATTCACCTGTTCCCGTCTCACCCGTTAGTTCCAGTCTGGCCCTTCTGCCAAACTAGGGATGTTATTCCCGGGTTTGAAGCCTGAGGCTCCCCTTCCAAGCCAACCTGCTGAGCTAGTGACCAAGGGCAGCGCCGTCCTGCTGGGCGCCAGTGATTTCCCCTCTCCTGGTGGTCCCCTTGCCCTGATGCCTGTTCAGCTGCGTTTGCATTCTCAGGTTTTCCCCATTTCCCCTGCCTCCTGCCCACTCTCACTCCCCCTGGCATCCTTCAGATACGGAAGTCAGGAAGTTGGCAACCACCTTCTAGGAAGCATTGCTACCTACTTTTTTTTTTCTTCTTTTTTTTTAATGCCTCCTGCAAGCCCCCTCTTGGGGATTGAGCCTGAAATGTGGGCATGTGCCCGGTCAGGGACCACACTCAACCAGCTGAGCCATGCCAGTCAGTTGTGGAGTTTTGTAATAGTTCAAGCCTCTTCTGGGCTTCCGGAAGAAAAGAAAGAAGAGAGTGTGGTACAATGTTAGGACAAGAAGTAGAGTTTCTGGTTTTGTGCTGATTCGGCCTTCCTGTCCGGGTTCTGTCCCAGTCTATGCCTTGAGGTCCCTGGAAGTGTCACTTGGTGACTGGCAGTGTCTTTGGTTGCAGGTCCTGGAGTTCAGGGTGAGCGTCTGTTTGCTCCCCTGGGTTTGGGAGGATACCGTTTCTTTTCTTCTCAGGGTCCACCCGCAGGGCTCCACTCTGTGCTGAGTCAGCAGACGTGAAAGTGATGCGTTTTCTCCAGCTGCACAACATGAGCGAGAAGTGGTTAGCCAGACCCGGAGCTCAACCTCGTGTAGAGCCCAGGTGGGAATGGGGCCCCTGCGGGGAGTTAGCCCTGAGGGCAGCTGGCCGAGAAGTCAGCTGGGGAAGAATCTCATCCTCTCCGCATAAAGGAGGAGGATCTCTGCTAAAGAGCAGTCCTGATTCTGCCAGTCATTTGTGGGAGTGGTGCGACCTTTGAGCCCTTTTGATGGCAGACTGGCAGGAGCAGCCTGGTGCCTGTTACACTGACCCGCTGCTAGTGAGACGGGGTTGGTCCATTGCACCAGGGAGGTACTCGCTGCGCTTGGTACTGGCCCACACTCCACCTGGCGCTGTCCCTGGTGGTCAAGAGATGAATTTGAATATCGATACAAAGAGGGAATCACATGTTCCTCGTTAAAAGGAGCGGATTGGGGTTTCCCGGTGTACCCTGATGGCTCTATCCCCCTCTGAGATCCCGCAGTTCTCGGATGCTCTCTTACCTCCCATGTCCTTTCTCTGTCTGCAGCCTACTGTTCTGATGCAGAAGGGGAGGCAGAAAGTGCCACATTTGGATGCCCCCCTGGGCTTGCCCACCTGCCTCTGGCTGGAATTAGCTGGACTCTTCTTACTGGTTCCCTGGGTCATGGGCCTGCCAAGGACCGGTGGGCCTGAGACCCCGAGCCCAGGGGGGCTGAGTTGGGCTGTGCATCTGGACAACCTGGAAGGAAAGGGGCAGGAGGAGACCGCGGAGCAAAAGGCAGACGCCTTGGCCCGGGCAGCAGGACTGGTGAATGCTGGGCGCATCGGGGAGCTCCAGGGGCACTACCTCTTTGTCCACCCAGCTGGGCACCAGTCAGACAAGCAGGCAGAGGCCATCCGGCAGCAGGCAGAGGCTGTGTTAGCCAGACATGAAGCTGTGCACTGGCACTCAGAGCAGAAACTGCTAAAGCGAGCCAAGCGCAGCGTCCACTTCAATGACCCCAAATACCCACAGCAGTGGCACCTGGTAAGTCCAGCCCTACAGTTTTCAGCTTCAGATGGATAGATTCTGGATATCCTATTCTCTTTTTAAGATATTAATTAATTACTTTATTTTATTGATTTGAGAGAGAAGTATCAGTATGTTGTTCCACTTATGCATTTGTCGGTTGACTCTTGTATGTGCCCTGACCAGGGGTCTAACCTGCCACCTTGATTTATCTGGACGACACTCTAACCAACAGCTCCCCGACCAGGCTATCCAGTTCTTTATGAACTCTGACTGTATTGCTTTCCAGCTTGCCCGCAGAGACATTTCTGAGGACTTTGGGGAGTGTTTCTTCCTCGGGCTCCATCTCCCTGTGCTCATCTCTGGAGAGCCCCTGGGCTACTGTGGTCAGGGCCTGGGTGCTGGGGCCAGGCTGCCTGGGCTCAGGTTCCAACTCTGCCACTTACTATCATGTGCCTTTGGGCAAGCTGCCTCACCTCTCTGTGCCTCAGTTTCCTTCTCTATAAATGGGAGATTTTATTTTATTTTTGGGAGATTTTAAAAGTACCTCTTGTAGAGGTAGTAAGGATAAATGAATTAACATGTGAGTCCCTAATACATGATAAACACTTTACAGTGTAAACTACTAACATAATATAACCTGTATATATAAAAACCTAAGCGACAGAATGTCCAGAATGACCTGCCAGTAGCTATGACATGCACTGATCCAGACCTTGCTGCTGGGGCCCATCAGCCCCAAATCTGGTTCACCTGCACCCCAGACCCAGACAGGAGGGAAGAGGGAACCCAATTCCTTACAAAATCGGCCATTTAGCTTGCTGCTGGGTCCAACCTCCCACGGTCCCTCCACCACCACCACCACCTTCCCCCCACCCATCAGCCCCAATCACCGGCCAGGCTGAGGGACCCCACCCATGCACAAATTCATGCACTGGGCCTCTAGTATTGTCATAATATATATTATGGAGCATAATAATTGTATTAGCCAACCATAAGCCTATCCACCATTTCATCTATTTTTTTATATGTTTCTGATTTTTTACAGAGAGGAAGGGAGAGGGAGAGAGAGTTAGAAACGTCAATGAGAGAGAAACATCGACTAGCCGCCTCCTGCACACCCCCCACCGAGGATGTGCCTGTAGCCAATGTACATGCCCTTGACCGGAATCGAACCTGGGACCCTTCAGTCTGTAGATCGACGCTCTACCACTGAGCCAAACCAGCTTCAGCTATTTTTTTTTAATCTTTATTGTTGAGCATAGACCGGTTTGGCTAAGTGTATAGAGCATCAGCCTGTGGACTGAAGGGTCCCAGGTTCAATTTCGGTCAAGGGCATTTACATTGGTTGCAGGCACATCCCCAGTGAGGGGTGTGCAGGAGGCAGCTGGTCCATGTTTCTTTCTCATCGATGTTTCTAGCTCTCTATCCTCTCCCTTCCCTATAAAAAAATCAATAAAATATATTTTTTAAATAAATAAATCTTTATTGTTGAAAGTATTACATATTTCCCCCATTGACCCCTTTTAGCTCGCCCCATCCCCCACCCTACCATTTCATCTTTATCGCCCATGAATGCTGCCACCATTTCCTGTTGACCTAGGTTGTGGCAAAGCTCTCACTTGTCCCTCCTTGACTCCGCCCCCACCTGGACCTATTGCTACACAAACTGTCTGGCGATTTTTTTTTTTATTTATTGATTTTTTTTTTTTTTTTTTTTTACAGAGAGAAAGAGAGAGGGATGGAGAGTTAGAAACATCGATGAGAGAGAATCATCGATCAGCTGCCTCTTGTAAACCCCCTACTGGGGATGTGCCTGCAACTAAGGTACATGCCCTTAACCGGAATTGAACCTGGGACCTTTCACTTCGCAGGCCGACGCTCTATCCACGGAGCCAAACCAGTTTTGGCCTTTCTGGCTCTTTGATGGCAGCCAGGAGGAGAGAGGGGCCGATAGCTTTACTGTGCATCGCTGTGAGCTGTGCTATCTGTCCCTGGATTCCCAAGGCCCTGACACAGCTCCTGGCCCTGTCTGTCCTGCAGAATAACCGGCGGAGCCCCGGCAGGGACATCAATGTGACAGGTGTGTGGGAACGCAACGTGACGGGGCGAGGGGTGACTGTGGTGGTCGTGGATGACGGAGTGGAACACACCATCCAGGATATTGCACCCAACTATGTGAGTGGCCCTGGGGTGACCCCTCCCACCCCCATCTCTCACCTTCATATTGCCTCAAGCTCGTCCCCTTTCTTAGAGGTCTGAGAGCCAAACAGAAGGGCCTGGTGGGATGGTGGTCCTCTTCTGCTTCCCCAGCCAGCAATCCAGAAGGCAGTTAAGGCACAGAGTAGCTCTATCTCAGTAAGGGAGAGGGTCCCAGGTGACACTCACCGGGTCCTGTCGCACTCCCTGCCCTGGGGAGAGGAGTGGAGCCCTAGGTAGCTGCCCTCTGCACACCGTTCTGAGCACCTTCCTTTCTAACGCCTGGCCTTTGGGCAGCCCCGCATTGTTTCTATCCCAGGTTTCCACGTGGTGGAGCAGTTTTCTGGACACATTTCTATAATAGACGAGAGAGAAGTTTCCTATGAACGGTGGCACTTCTCAGTTTTGCCCTGGAGTCCTGCCTCATGTAGCCCAGTGTTTCCCAAACTTTTGACATATGTGTACCCCTTCTATAATTTTCGTAGCGCTGAGTACCCCTCGTACTCATGAGAACGTAGAATTAGGCTCAGCTAAGCACGGTGCAGTGCATATCTCCACCAAACTCCGGTGCAACGCGTACCCCCACCAAACTCTTCCCATACCCCTGGGGGTACGCGGACCACACTTTGGGAAACACTGTATGTGGTTTTCAGACAGAGATGGTCTTGGAGCCCAAACTCCCTCTCTCCCTGAGCTCTAAGATCTGACCTCTTAGAACCAGTGAGTGACCATATGTTGCCCCCTCACAATGTTTCAGAGCCCTGAGGGCAGCTATGACCTCAACTCTAATGACCCTGACCCCATGCCCCACCCGGATGCGGAGAATGGCAACCATCATGGCACTCGATGTGCGGGAGAGATTGCTGCGGTGCCTAACAACAGCTTCTGCGCAGTGGGAGTGGCATATGGGAGTCGCATAGCAGGTACCTTCCTGTGCAGCCTCAGTCCGTCTCCCCTGTGATAGCAGTCTTCATTCCCCACCCCAGCCCCTGGCTATGTACTGCCTTGTCCGACCCTCAACACACACAGCATAGAACAAAGGGTAAGCTCATAATAAAGGTTTATAGGACGAATCAGTTCATGGTGTTTTTTTCAATGCAGTGGTGTTTTAGGCATGCATTCAGCAGCAAGCCCCACTACATAAAACAGCTAAAAGTGAGAATGCTCTTGATGCGGATGGAGACCATCCTGCTCAGTTGCCTCTTTCCTTTTTCTGATCTTGGTTGTACCCCAACTCATTTCAGATACCTCCTTTACTTATGTGTGCTACACTTGTATTTGCAATTTACCAAACACCGTCTCATCTGCCCTTCCTCCTTGACCCCACATATCTATGGAGGCTTCTCTCCCAGCTCCCCAGCTCTCAGCTCCAGGGTTTTTTTTTTATGGTCACTTTCTGCTCTCCATCCTTTCAAGAGGTCTGGGAATCCCTGGCCTCCACTTGGGGGTGGTTCTTTGGCTCCTTTGCCTCTCAGGCTTTGTCCATCAAGCCCAAGGTGAAGGGAATGAATGGGGAAGCCCTCCCCATGATTCCTCCTAAATGCTTAGAACGAACCAAATGTTAGACTGACTAAGTTGGGTGTATTCCTCCTACACTCCAGCAGAGGGCAGCAGCCCTCTGTAAATGAGGCTACACGGGGAGCCAGAAGCCTTCAGGGTCCAAATCCTTTCTGAAAGCCCCTTAGGTCACTACATGGTCAGAGGATGAAATTGGGCATACATGGGAGTAGTTGATGGTAACAAGTACCTTTTATTGAGCGCCTTCTATGTGTCAAGCAGCACACCCATGTTTCACATGATTAAGGATGCAAATAGGGAAACTTGGCAACCTACATTCTACATGCCTTTTCCACCAGATCCCATGATCCTTGAAGTCTAAGATTTAGCATTATATTTTAAAAAGTATTTCAGGGTAGGTACATACACATGGTATAAAGAACACAAGCACACTTAGGGGGGAAAGTAAATCTCCACATCTGGCTCCCGCCCTCTAGATCCCCATCTCGGGACAGGCCTTCTTGAGGAGCTAACGTGGCCTTTGCTGCCTAGGTATCCGGTTACTAGATGGACCCCTGACAGACAGCATGGAGGCTGTGGCGTTCAACAAGCACTATCAGATCAATGACATCTACAGTTGCAGGTGAGTCAGAGTCAGGCACAGGTGAGAGGGCCAGAGGCTTGGACACCTGAGACTAGTTCTCCAGCAGAAGAACAAGATGAGCTGACTCAGGCAGGCTCCAGCAAGCTCTGCTCCCTGGGTTCAGCGTATCAGCCCATTGCCCTCCTTTCTCCAGATGCCCAGCCACTGGGTTCTTAGTCTTAAGCCTCATGGCATCCCAGTCATCAGGTTGCCACATGAGGAGTGCAACAGCTTTTTAATGAGCTCATCGGCCTCTGGGAGCAAAGTGGGCTTTCTTCTCCCTCCGCCAAGCTGAGTGCCAGCACCAGTCCCCTGGCCCTGCACACAGGCACACCTGCAGCTTCGGGTTGTGGTTGTGTTGGGGTCAGGTGAGATTAAGGAGAAACAGATTGGGCTGTCCCCGTGGCAGTGATGGCACCTCGCCAGTACCTCCATGAATCCATGATATCCGCAGTCATTTCCTCTTGGAGAAGGAATGGAGAGTCCTTGTGGGTGCTCCTCCTTCAGGCCTAGTCATAGATCCCAAATCCGGACAGGTGCCCCTTGTCCCTGGCCACCAAGATGTCCATCTCCTGCTTCCTGGACCTGAGGAAAGGTTTTAGGAGCAGGTTAAAGCTGTTCTACACTGAGAGCGTTTCTAAGGAAAAGAGCTCTCTTCCACTTTGAGTGGGGGCTGAACCAACCCTTCTGACCTTTCATCATGGGAGGCCTGGCCTGGAACCTTGAGAGGAGAGCGGGAGCCCAGGCAGGGGTGGCCGGCCGAGCCTGGGGGCCTGGGAGGGGCCACAGCCTGGTTCCGGCCCTCCCGCTGATGTTTCTCCACAGCTGGGGCCCAGATGATGATGGGAAGACAGTGGATGGCCCTCATCAGCTTGGCAAGGTACCTGACCTGCAGGAAGCCTGGAGGAGACCCAGGCACACCCTCCCTTCAGTGGCAGAGGACACTGCAGGTCACTCCCTCACCCACCCGTCTGCAGGGCCAGGCCGTGCCATTTGACCCGGCGCCTCCTTTCGGGGACAGGAGGGTGGATGGGGGCGCACAGGTTCTGAGAGGAAGGGAACAGGCTCCCATTGGCTCCCTATTCTGGCCTCTCCACTCTGATGAGCAGAGTGCATCCATCAGCAGCAGCTTAACTACCAGCTTCCTCCAGTCCTTGTGCCACCTTGACCCTCTCTACCTGGCCCGGCCGCTGGGCTGTGCTCCTTTCTAGAAGTGGGGACGGGCAGTTTGTAAGGAAGGCAGCAGTCAGTCTCCCAGCTGATTTCCGGCGTTCTTGCTCCTCAGGCAGCCTTGCAGCACGGGGTGATGGCTGGCCGCCAGGGCTTCGGGAGCATCTTTGTGGTGGCGAGTGGCAATGGGGGCCAGCACAACGACAACTGCAACTATGACGGCTACGCCAACTCCATCTACACGGTCACCATAGGTAGTCCCCGTGCTTCTGTGTGCGTGTGCGTGCGTGCGTGCGTGCGTGCGTGCGTGTGTGTGTGTGTGTGTGCCTGTGGTGAGGACCATAAGCTGGTGAGTGTGTCACTCTGTGCTGACGGACTGTATCCTGGTAAGTGTGTCAGTCGGGGGTGAGGGACTGTATCCTGGTGTGTCACTCTGTGCTGAGGGACTGTAACCTGGTGAGTGTGTCACTCTGTGGTGAGGGACTGTAACCTGGTGAGTGTGTCACTCTGTGGTGAGGGACGGTATCCTGGTGTGTCACTCTGTGGTGTGGGACTGTATCCTGGTGAGTGTGTCACTCTGTGGTGAGGGGATTGTACCTGGTGAGTGTGGCACTCTGTGGTGAGGGGATTGTACCTGGTGAGTGTGTCACTCTCTGGTGTGGGACTGTAACCTGGTGAGTGTGTCACTCTGTGGTGAGGGGATTGTACCTGGTGAGTGTGGCACTCTGTGGTGAGGGGATTGTACCTGGTGAGTGTGTCACTCTCTGGTGTGGGACTGTAACCTGGTGAGTGTGTCACTCTGTGGTGAGGGGATTGTACCTGGTGAGTGTGTCACTCTCTGGTGTGGGACTATAACCTGGTGAGTGTGTCACTCTGTGGTGAGGGGATTGTACCTGGTTGAGTGTGTCACTCTGTGGTGAGGGGATTGTACCTGGTGAGTGTGTCACTCTGTGGTGAGAGGATTGTACCTGGTTGAGTGTGTCACTCTGTGGTGAGGGGATTGTACCTGGTGAGTGTGTCACTCTGTGGTGTGGGACTGTAACCTGGTGAGTGTGTCACTCTGTGGTGTGGGACTGTAACCTGGTGAGTGTGTCACTCTGTGGTGAGGGGATTGTACCTGGTGAGTGTGGCACTCTCTGCTGAGGGACTGTATCCTGTGTGTCACTCTGTGGTGAGGGGATTGTACCTGGTGTGTGTGGCACTCTCTGGTGAGGGACTGTATCCTGGTGAGTGTGTCACTCTGTGGTGAGGGGATTGTACCTGGTGAGTGTGGCACTCTGGTGTGGGACTGTATCCTGTGAGTGTGTCACTCTGTGGTGAGGGACTGTAACCTGGTGAGTGTGTCACTCTGTGGTGAGGGGATTGTACCTGGTGAGTGTGTCACTCTGTGGTGTGGGACTGTATCCTGTGAGTGTGTCACTCTGTGGTGTGGGACTGTATCCTGTGAGTGTGTCACTCTGTGGTGAGGGACTGTAACCTGGTGAGTGTGTCACTCTGTGGTGAGGGGATTGTACCTGGTGAGTGTGGCACTCTGTGGTGAGGGGATTGTACCTGGTGAGTGTGTCACTCTCTGGTGTGGGACTGTATCCTGTGAGTGTGTCACTCTGTGGTGAGGGACTGTAACCTGGTGAGTGTGTCACTCTGTGGTGAGGGGATTGTACCTGGTGAGTGTGTCATTCTCTGGTGTGGGACTGTAACCTGGTGAGTGTGTCACTCTGTGGTGTGGGACTGTAACCTGGTGAGTGTGTCACTCTCTGGTGTGGGACTGTAATCTGGTGAGTGTGTCACTCTGTGTTGAGGGGATTGTACCTGGTGAGTGTGGCACTCTCTGGTGTGGGACTGTAACCTGATGAGTGTGGCACACTGTGGTGAGAGGATTGTACCTGGTGAGTGTGTCACTCTGGTGAGGGACTGTATCCTGGTGAGTGTGTCACTCTGTGGTGAGGGGCTTGGTGTGTGTGTGTGTGTGTGTGTGTGTGTGTATGTGACTCACTTGTAAGGAGAATGTGTCTTGGGCAGCCCCATCCTCTGTGTGTCTGAGTGTGAGCAGGACCTTACCTGGGGGTCAGAGAGTGCGAGGGTCTCAACCTGCTCTCGCGGCTTCTTTGGAGTCTCCACGCCTGACAGGCTTTCCGCCCGGCCTGTGGCAGTAATCTGCCGCCCGCACCCACCACGCTGGTTAGGCTTCTGCCCTGCCGTCTTCCCATGGCCCACCTGCCTCCTGCCCTCGTCCTGTGCTCCCACCACGGCATTGCCCAGGGGTGCTTCTGTTCTCCCCGGCTTACGCCCTGACTTTAGACTTCTGGAGATCAGACTGTCCTTTCCCTCATGGCCCTCCCCCTCACGTGCGTGTGACTCTCCGTTGACACTGAAGGCTAAGGAGAGGAGTGTGTGCGTGCATGAGGATGCCCCCGCTGGTGCCCTGTGGCGAGCCTCCTGGGAGAACGGTGTTTAGGGCACAGAACACCCTCAGCCACTTGACGGGGCCTGTTCAAGTAAGGAGTGTGGCACTCGAGGCCCTTGAGCCACTGAATCATTTTCAAACCCAGGGCCACCGCCAGCTGGTAACTCAAAGGTACCTGCTGTTACCGGCTTTCGTCTCAGCTCCCATCCCTGCCCTCCCCCAGGTGCCGTGGATGAGGATGGACGGATGCCGTTCTACGCAGAGGAGTGTGCGTCCATGCTGGCGGTCACCTTCAGCGGCGGGGACAAGATGCTCAGGAGCATTGTAAGTGCCCTGCCTGCGCTCCTGGCCCATAAATAACCCTGTGCCCCGTCCTGTGCTCAGCCGCATCTTCCCTCCCAAACCCTGGGGGGAGGGGGCGGCCCTGAGCTGAGGCTCGGGATAATCTGGGAAATGGTTTTTATCTCTAAAATGTTAATGTACAAGTTAATTTTATGTTCTGTTAGAGGACTGCTAAGTGTCACATTGATGACAGAATTCTTTGTAGTGCCTTTCTTTGGTAGGATTTGGGCTTTGGCTGCTTTTTGTGGGCTTACAAATCCGTCCTGTTATTTTCCAGCCCTTATGTAAACCCTGTGCGTTCCGGTGTTTACTCACTCCTGGGCCCCTTGGCTCTCAGGAGCCAGCAGTGGTTGTGTTTCTGGGACGGGCAGGATAAGGAGTCGGGACTGTCTGTTGGCTCAAGAGAGAGCTCTTCCCTGGGGCCACAGCAGACGCGAACTTGGAGCGAGCGAGAGAGTGGAGCCTTGAGCTCTGGGAGCCTTCACAGGGTGCAGGCCTGGTGCCTGTGCCTTGCTGGCCCAGCTACATCCCAGGTCTTCAGGCCAAGTCTCTGGCCATCCTCCCAGAGCTCCCTGCGGCCTTGCTGCCCAGGAGGGACTGGAGGGAATAAAGGGGAAGGGCCTGCCGCCGGAGCTGGGCGGCAGCCAGGGTATCAGATTTCCCTGGCCTGGTGGGAGGTCTCCTGCCGCGCCAGACTCCGTTTCCAAAACTGAAGTTTTGTTTTGCCCGTAAATGACTCTGGTTAACACAGTGTTCCAAGGCTCTGGGTCAGTTGACCCCCCTCCCCCGCCCTCCCCGCTTCGTGCCCTGGGGAGAGGAGAAGAGGGAGTGGACTAAAGAAGAGAGAAGAAAGGCTTTGCTCAGCAGGCGGGGGTCTGGGTGCACGGCATCCCCCCCCCCCCAGGCCAGACTGGGCTCCGAACAAGAGCAGGAACATACTGTGCTCTTGGTGCCCTGGCAGAACTCTCCAGAACCGCTCATCCCGCTATTCCCCCTCCCCCCAGGAACCAGTAGAGCTCCCAGGCATCGTCGTCAGTCTGTTCTGTCCTGAGGGGTGTGACTTGGGTCCTCCTAACTCAGCTCCACATCAGAACTGTAACTCATCCAGAAGGGAAGAGAGTGTGTTTCGCCGAGTTTCCATCTTTGGGATGTCTTTGCCTTGGAAGGCTCCCGTTGCCAGTTTCTGGTCAGTGAGCAGCTTGGCGAAGCTGTCTTCCTTGAGGGCAGGGTGTGGAGGCACATGCCACCATCACTCGGCTGCCGGGGCACCTCCCTGGACTCCCTCTGGCTGCCTGTAGCTCCCGCCACCACGGCAAGTCCCAGACCTCAGCCACACACTAGACTGTGAGGCTGCTTCCTTAACAGGAAACAATCCGTCTGCTCCCTGGCACCGAGCAGGCCGGCCTCCCACTCATTGAGGACAGCTTGGGAGTTTCTTCCTTTCCTTCTGGGCGTGCACGCTGTCTGGGTAAAAATTACACCTCCTGGCAGCTGCTCTCATAGCTGGGAGGGAAGCAGTGAGTACAGTGTTGAGAAAGGGCAGCTCTTGGCAGAAGCTAGGGCCCTGCTATCTGGCCCAGAAGAGAGGGTTGGAAGAAGAAAATTCTCTGGTCTTGTGCTAAACCCATTGTGCCGCATCTCGGAGACTCGGGGTCTCCTCAGTTCACCCCTGTGTGGTTCCAGGGTCCGTTATAGCAGAGGAAGAGCTTGAGGCCAGACAGATGCCATCTGTCCCCCACGGGCAACTCTCCCCTCCCCACGCCCTCGCCCGCCTCCCGCTCGCACCAAAGGGAGAGAAGGGGACTCCTAAAAGCCGTCCTGAGGCACCGGGCCAGAGCAGCGAGGCAGCTTGCCTGTCAGTTTCCACCAGCCAGGCAGGCAGCGTAGACGCTGGCCCCATCCCCATCCCGAGCCCGTGGGTGGGCAGGGACGACCTCTCTCCCTGGGAACACACTCGCTTTGTTTGCACTGATGTCACTGCAGCTCCTTATCGCCAAGTTGGATTTCCTTGAACGGTGCCGTCACTGTTGTCCCAGCTCCAGCCGGCCCGGGAGCTCCTGCCCACTTCCTCTGTCTGGCATGGCTGTGGGGTCTGGAGGCTTGGGAGTGGGGGCTGGGCTGGGGAATTTGGGGTTGGATCATTGGAGCAGCAGGCGTCAGCACACTGTCCCCAGCACTAGGCTTCACATGCCTAGCCCTCCTTCCCTTACAACCAGCCCTCCTAAGTACCTCTTCAATTCCATTTGCCCCTCTCGGCTGTCCTGAGATTCCTTGTGAGGCCCAGAGCTGAGCTCTCCTTCGTCTCTGACCTTCTAGCAGCCTCCTGCTGGTCAGAGACAAAGGATGGGCCAGTCTGTACCCTGCCCTCCATAGTGCCGTGAGCGCAGTCTAACCCAGTGCCCTCCTGTCCCACTGCCTAGGTGACCACTGACTGGGACCTTCAGAAGGGCACAGGCTGCACTGAGGGCCACACGGGTACCTCAGCTGCAGCCCCCCTGGCAGCCGGCATGATAGCCCTCATGCTGCAGGTGCGGCCCTGCCTTACCTGGCGTGATGTCCAGCACATCATTGTCTTCACAGCCACTCAGGTGAGATGCCACCAGGCAAACATGTGACCTGGCCCAGTCGACCCCTGAGTTCTGGCTCGAGGACTTCCAGGTTCCAGGTGTTAGGTGCCAATGCCTTTCGGGGTTGCATGAGTATAGAACAAGGGTGGGGAGTCCGTCACCAGAGACCTCACCTCATTGTACCTATTTCTGATGATGCCATTTTACCTGCAGAGGAGAGCTCTGGCCGGGCTTCCTCACTGGAGCCTGACTCCCTCTCTGGAAGCCAGCCTTTGGGGTGGTGACACCAGGGGGCAGCTTTCCTTGGGGAACCCATAACCAGTGGCTTTAGTGGGAGAGTCTGGTTTGGAGCAGCAACAGGGAGGCTGGAGATGGGTTGCTGAGATCACTTTGGGAATCCAGGAGACTAACCGGGACCTCTGCCCTCAGTACGAGGATCGCCATGCAGACTGGATCACCAATGAGGCAGGCTTCAGCCATAGCCACCAGCACGGATTCGGCCTGCTCAAGGCTTGGAGACTCGTTAACGCAGCCAAGGTGAACAGGTGTCGGCAGGGCAGGGAGCCACATGGGATGACCAAGGGAGGGGCTGGCTACCTAACCAGGCAAGGGGAACCTGCTCTCTGCCCAGGGCCATGTGGATATTTATGTCATTCCTGGTCTATACAAAGTTATCACTTAAAATAGCCTGCTGCTTTGGCTCAGGGGAAAAAGAGTTGGCCTGTGAGGTCCCAGGTTCCATTCTGGTCAAGAGCACATGCCCAGGTTGTGGGCTTGATACCTGGTGGGAGGTGTGCAGGAGACAGCTGATCAATGATTCTCTCTCATCATTGATGTTTCTATCTCTCTCCCTTCCTCTCTGAAATAAAAAGTGTATATTTTTAAAAATTAGCCTACTATATTTGATCAAAGATTTAATTACCTTACCCTAATGCCTTGGCAGGGCCCAACAAAGTGGTATTGTGGGCCTTATACGGCCCTCAGGCCGGATGTTTGCCACCCAGGACACCGTTGTCTGGCACTTTGTAAGGGCTGAATAAATGTCCATTCATTTATGTACCCTCATCCCAGCTGACACTCATTTTACAAATGAGGAAGCAGGCTCAGCATGTTCATTGAAGTTTCCAGAGCATTTGCAGGGAGTGCTGGGACTTGGTACCCTTTGGGACACAGTGCTCTGGTTCTCATCTTCCACCTGGACACCCCTTTCCTCTGGTTTTGGATTCGGTGCCATAGGGAGCACTCCCTGATGTCGCAGGAGCCTCAGGAATGGGAGAAGGTGATGAGGACAGGAAAAAGAGAGAGAGCTGGGCCCTGACGATCAGTGGATGAGAGAGAAAAGGAGTCCAGTCTTGTTCATCCACCATCTCCCCTTTTCCTTTAACAGATCTGGACATCTGTCCCTTACTTAGCTTCCTACGTCAGCCCTGTGTTAAAAGAGAACAAGGCTATCCCACTGTCCCCCCACTCCCTGGAGGTACTGTGGAATGGTAAGTAGTCCCCAGAAAGGGGGGTTATCTTGGGGCAGGGCGAGGGGGAACGCACCCTCCCTGGGCTCTACCCCTTCCTTCAGGAGCTGAGCTTCAGCCAAACCTGTGGCGTGTCCATGGCCATTTTAGGGCATGTTGCTGCTTCTGAGAGGCTGCCCGGGCCCAGCAAGGCCTTCCTCCCAGTCGCTGGGAGAGGAAGGAGCTGCTGAGCCCTGATGAGAGAGGCTGTGAGGAGCGGGGTTGGGCCTGCAGATGAGGCATGAGTTGAAAGATGTTCTTTGCATTCCAAGCTGAGAACTTGCCAGACAGTCCTCGTCATCCCCATGGCCTTTGGATGAAGTGAAGGAGTTGAGATTCTTTGCTTTCTCAACCTTGGCTAATACAGAGAGAGTCGCAGGGGCCTGCTGGGGGTGACAGAGGAGAACAGGGTCTCCCCGGGCTGTGGTTGCCCTCTGACCCGCCTCTTTCTCACCATCCCAGGGCAGTAAGTCAGTGGTTGGTGTTGAGCACAGAGATTGGGCACCTCCCAGGAGAGTGTCTGCACTTTCCCAGAGTTCCCATGTGACGTCCCCAGCTCCAGCTCCTCGGGGACTTCCTGTCCCTTGGGGAATTGGGCAGTTATTGGCTATTTTCTGTGGAGATTGAAGCATGTCATGTGCTGTACCCAAACTTGAACTCTGAACTTGCAGGAAGTGATCCACCCAGAGCAACTCTGAGAGGATGAGTAGCTGAGGGAGCTCATTAAGGAGGGCCAGGCAGCGTCCCGCAGGGGAAGGTGTCCATGTACGTCAGTGGTGCCTGGTTCCCTCTAGGCCAGTGGTCGACAAACTCGTTAGTCAACAGAGCCAAATAACAGTACGACGATTGAAATTTCTTTTGAGAGCCAAATTTTTTAAACTTAAACTCCTTCTAACGCCACTTCTTCAAAATAGACTTGCCCAGGCCATGGTTTTTGTGGAAGAGCCACACTCAAGGGGCCACAGAGCGGCATGTGGCTTGCGAGCCACAGCTTGCCGACCATGGCTCTAGGTGGAAGGAAGTCTGTGAGTGCTATTCTCTGCTTGTCTCCTAAAAGGGACCTTGGAACGGGCACGAGGTGTCAGCCAGGATGGGCAGTTCGGGAGCAGTCCCAGGAACGCAGCTCCTGGGAACCCAGGCTTTGTCTTGGACCCTCGTGTGTCTTGGAGATGGTGTGCCCTTAACTCCTGCCCCAGGACTGCTCCCTGTCACTCAGGTAGCACAGTAACCACAGTCACACTGTCAGGTGAGGGGTTGACTTAGAGGAAGGTCAGGGTCCTTTCCAGCTTTGTCATCCTCTGCTCCCACTACCCTGGGCCATGGCCCAGCATGTCTGACAAGCTCCCTCAGATATAGAGGCACCTGGCTACTGCTTGTCTGTCGTTAAGGAGCACGAGAAAGACCAGCTTGTCACGGGCAGAGGAGACTGAAGGTGGGTAGTGGAGAGAGGACGAAGCTGAAGCATGCAGACCCTGGAACTTGGGCTGGTGGAGCCTGTCTTCAGCGCGGAGGCGCCAGCAGGATTTGGCTAGTGTCTGAGCTCTGCAGGTATCGCCCCCTCTGGGGATCGAATAGCCTTGAGGAGACAACAGAAGGCACACGTCTGTGTGTCCTTGGAGGCGGAAGGAAGTATGACCAGTTAATAGAACGTTAAGCAAGTCAGTCCTAGACCAGGAAGGCTTTCCCCTGAGCCCCACTGAGGTCTTTCCACCCAGACCCGGTGATTCCGTGTGAGGGCTGGAGAGGGACTTGTGGTGCAGCGAGCTGACCAGGACCAGGCAGAGGGCGGGGAAACGCCTTGAAGACCCTGGAGCAGTGGTGGCATGGTCTCTGTGTGAGCACCGAGGCCCCCAGGAGGCTATCAAACACTTGATATGTGGCTAGTGAGACTGAAGAACAACTTTATTATAATTAAATTCAAATAGCCATGTGGCTAGTGGCTAACATATTGGGCAATGCAGCTTTAGAGCAAGACAGGTTTTTATTCTTCCCGTTGGCAGGAGGACACAGGGAAGGGATGGAGGCCCTGGTTCCTTTAGATCGGATTTCTTTGAGCTCTCCACCAGAAAGGAGAGAGAGTGGGGTTCAGAGGGATTGTCTACAACACAAGAGAGTGTGTATTTATAGAAGGCTCTTGAACACCACTTGCACTTTACTTTTGATCCTTATTGGCAGCCTGAGTGTGTGGTTAGCCCTCTGCCTAGGCAGAGAACCTTGTTCTTCCCTTCTCCGCCTCCTCCCTCTCCAGCCAGCCACCCTCTCCACGGATCCCTCTTCCTGCCTTCATACATCCTCGCTCACCTGTCAGGAAACACAGTAAAGTCCCCGCCACCGTCACCTTTTCAGAGGAATCATCTAAAGCCATTGCTGCTTGTGCCACACCCTCTCTTGACCGCTGACGCTTCGATTCATCACTCTCTTTACTTCATCTTCTCCTGGTCGGACCCCAGGGCTGGCTCAGAGCTCATCCTTCGACCTGTTGCTGTGACCCTATCAATGAGGCCCTTGTGGCAGCCTCTTTGTGCCCCCAGTGTCCATGACCTCCTTGCTCCATGGCCTCTCCTCGGAGCTCTGCCTGGGGTACTTGTTTTCTTGTTTGCTCGTCCCATTCCCAGCGCTTCTGAGCTCACCCCAGGTTCCTGGTCCTCTCCGTGATAGGGCAATGGCTCAGGACTTCAGCTGCTGTCGCTCACACAGGAGTCCTAGAGCGAATCTCTTCTGATCTCTTACCAGGCTGGACAGGCATCTTCACAGCTTCCCTAAGAGCCTGGGCAAAGAACGCCCTGGGGTCTTCTGGTCAGAGGGTAAAAGTTGAAAAAGACCCTTACTTACCAAAGGCCAAATAATAACATGATGATCCATTAAGACTTGAGTACTTTTTTATGTGCCAAGCACTGTTCTAAGTATTAGCTCATTTCTTTATTTATTTGTTTATTTATTTATTTTAAGTATTAGCTCATTTAAAGTATTAACTCATTTAATTCTAGTGTTCTTACATACATGGCCACCGTCCCTGTATGGACCAATAAGAACCACCCAGTCCCTGTATGGACCAGTAAGAACCACCCTGTCCCTGTATGGACCAGTAAGAACCACCCACTGCCTGTATGGACTAATAAGAACCACCCAGTCCCTGTATGGACCAGTAAGAACCACCCAGTCCTTGTATGGACCAGTAAGAACCACCCACTGTCTGTATGGACCAATAAGAACCAACCACTCCCTGCATGGACCAATAAGAACCACCCAGTCCCTGTATGGACCAATAAGAAATGCCATTTTGGCCTGGCCTGTATGAGTCAGTGGTTGAGCATCGACCTATGAACCAGGAGGTCACGGTTCAATTCCCAGTCAGGGCACATACCCAGGTTGCAGGCTTGATCCCCAGTGTGGAGCATGCAGGAGGCAGCTGATCAATTATTGATGTTTCTGTCTCCCTCTCTGAAATCAATGTATATATATATGTATATATTTTTTAAGTGCCACTGTGTGCACATGCTCAAGACAAGCACTCACAGGATTCTTTGCATCCCTTTCCTTTCATTTCGTGATGCTGTCGTTTACCATTGACAGCCCTCTGCGCTCATGCCCTCCAGCTATACTTTGGCTATTTCCTTCATTTTTCCATTCCTAGGTCACTGTGTGCTGTCGGCTATTCCACCAGTACGTGACATAAGCACGAACAAAATTGCTGGTTTCCTTATCACCTCTAGAAAGCCAGTCTACTTTTCAAGTTTCTCCTATTGTTCTTGCCATTTCTGTTCCCAAGCCTCCCAAGACTCAGGAATTTTCAGTCCCTCTCTGTCCTCTGCCTCTTCTCAGGTCTGTCCTCTCCTGCAATTTAACCTTTCATTTATTTCCCTGAAATGTCCTTAATTGGTTCATTCACTCTACAAATAAGTGCGATCTTCCTCATCCCAGGCACGGTATGACATTTCTGTGACTCAGAGGTAAGACATGATTCCTGCCTCAGAGAGCTCCCAGCCTGGGAGGGAAGACAGTCCGTGCGGTGGGGGTGTCAGAGGCACCACAGTCAAGATGACAAGGTCAGGGTACAAGCTAGCTGGGAGAAGAGGCGGTAAAGGGACGGCGGCAGCGGGGGTAACACGTGCTACATCGATGGGATCTCTGGGGGCTGCAGGTCCTGTGAGTCTGAGGGGAGCATTGGAGATAAATTGTCACCAGTCAATGTTAGCAGTAAGGGAGAAGAGCAGTCAGAGAGACGCCAAGACCTTAGCTTTTAGAGGTGCTGTTAACTCCTTACTGATGACATGATATGAGGCTGATGGGGTCCATTAAAAGGATTGGGAAGGGGAAGCAGTGGGGATCACCGATGAAATAAGATTAGCCAGATAGTCATAATAAGCTTGGTTGGGTGTTGAGATCATCTGTTCTACTTTTATATATGTTTGGTGTTTCCTATAATGAAAATTTATATGTCAACGTATATATTTCTGTAAACATTTCGTATATTTTTCAGTACATAAATCAGATGATTTCCAGGTGTTTAGCTTGGGCAACTGGTTAGATGGTGATGCCAGCAAGTGATATTAAGGGTGCAGGAGGAAGAACAGATCCCGGCAAGGGCGGTGGAGTGGAAAGCCCCGAAGGGAAGTTTGGCTCCGCCATGTTTTAGGCTCCTCGGTGTCATCTAAAGGTTATACCCAGGAAGCAGTGGAGTAAACAAGTGTGCAGGTCTAGACTGGAGGAGATCATTTTCGAGTCACCAGCATGAAAAGGGAAGAAAAAAGTCGGGGAAGAGAGATTCCCATGTTGGCGGGTAGTTGAAGGGTAAAAAAGGACCCAGGCGCCTCTGAGGAGGACAGCTGCCAGGAGATGGTCTGGGAGGGGGGGAGAGGTCAGGAGGGCAGTGTTACAGGCACCGAGGACAGGGGTGCTGAGGACGTGGGCAGGGCAGAAGGTGTCCGACTCATCAGCGAGGCAGCAAGAACGTGCTGACTGAGTGCAGTGCGCTCAGAAGG